AACCAGTGCCCATATGGATTCCCAGTGTATGCTGGGCAAGTGATTAAGCTGCTGAGCCTTTGCCTCGCTGCCTGCCCTCATCCCACAAACCCACTACTCCTCGGCTCCTTATTTTGTTTAGGATTTGTTTATTTTGCATGGCTAAGGCAGATTTCCAGAAATAGAAACAAAGATCTATCATCTGCTGTTTCACTCCTCAAATTGCTATGAAGACAGAAGCCAGGACCAGAAGTTTATTCTGGGTCTCCCATGCAGCTGAAAGAGTCCCAAGGCTTTGGGCCATCCTCCATTGCTTTCTCAGGCCACAAGCAGGGAGCTGGATGAGAAATAGAGCAGCCAGGACGTAAAACAGCACCCATAATGGATGCTGACCCTTGCCAGTGGAGGATTTTAGCCAATTGAGCCATCATGCAACCTCCCCACTCATCATTTCTCATTTGACTTTGATGGGGCAATTAGAGGTTATATCTAAGCTTAGGAAGTAGAAGGAATAAAGCCTGTTTGCTTGCTTGGTATTTGGAATGAAATATAAAAAGACGTGGTCATTGGAAATATGACGTCCTTTGTTACTTGTAGATTAGTAGGCATTCTCTCCCTCCATTCTAGATTTTATTACTGGATTAAAAATTGTTGGCTTCAAAATAACTATGTTAATTCTTCCAGATGGGTTGCTAAGCCAATGTGTCTATCAAATTTGACTTCTGCTTTATGACATAAACAGTAAATTTAGTTTGACTTTTTTTCCCATGGAAAAGTGAGTGTCATGAATAGCAAATATAATTCATATTTTTGTGTCACTGTTGTGTGGTAGGAACTGATCAACATACATTTGTTCTCAGCTGTATCACCATGATACAGGTGTTTTTGATGCAAATTGTATAAATTGTTTCATTAGTTATTTTGGATTATATCTGTTTTGATGTAACCTAAATATTAATGATTAACAAAAGATTTACCTTCCTAAGACCTTAATAAAAATGATACTCTGTTAAACCATTAGATTTACATGAACATCTATGATTGATAATATGTTAATGTCTGAAGAAAAGAGTAGCACAGTTTAAAGAGCTATGGAGTTAGCTCCTTGAATTCAAGCCCTACATTAATAGAGGTGATCCAAAGCATTAATTTGACTTTTGATAACAGGACACCTCATTACAAATGACTCTAAGTTGTTACTTTTTGAACGAGCATAAATATCAGCATTTGAAGATGTGGGAAATTAATTGTAAACTAAAAATGTCGCTACAATTTTAATTGGAATGCTAATGCCTATTGTGATTATAATTATTTTAGTTGTGTTGGTGTTCCAGATATAAGGGCATGCATTTTTTCAGGAATATTCGTATTGTGTTATTGTCTAAATGCCTGTTCTGTGATAATTTTATAGAGAAAGGAAATAATTCTTTCATATAACTGATAAGTGGAGAATCCATGATTAAATTCTTACACGGTCATATAGGGTCAGTTCTTTAAACTGTGAATGTCAAGCTATGTTTACCTCCTTTTTTCATTAGTACTTGTTGTTGCTACTGCTGCTTCTGTTGTAATGTAGGGATGATTCCATGCAAGGATAAATAGATGTTTTTGCAAGATATCTCTTCAAGGTCAAGAACTATTGATCCTTTTATCATGAAATGTGTTTCTCCACCCTTAGAGATAATCTTTGTTCAAGCTCATATTAAGAGTAACCCAATCTTTCTTATAAGGGTTGCACAATGTAGCTTTAAAAAAATATTGGCATTTTAATACTTAAAATCAGGGATTGGTGGTAGATTAAAAATGTCTGACTCATGAAAAGGTTGGTTTGTGAAAAAAGGATGAGATTAGGGGATCGTAGTCTCTCAATAGGTCAGTTGTATTTTGCTACTTTGTCAGCATTATATCAGACCACCAACAAGGTGAGTATCACTCATTTTTACAGGGAGATTAAGAGTAAGAATAAGGTTTTTCAGATGAATTGGAATGAGTCTGCATATGACTTGTTTGTACTATAGCATTTTTCGTTGTATTGTATCTGCCTTACCTGTTATCTTCCTTGGTAAGGAGCTCACTGAACTGTTAGTTCTTTTCATCTTGGCATATGAGCCTTGAAGTGAACATTTTGCAACAAGAATGGAATGTTCTGATGAATTCTGATAAATAATTTTTCATTGCACTAACTAGAAAGATATTGCTAAGTTTTAGTCCTTGTGAACTAGAAATGAGAATACTATTTAGGTCATTCCCAAGGAAAATGGAAAAGACGAATAAATGATATTTTGATAAATATTAGGTGTCACTAATTTAATACACAAATACCTCATGAAACTTCATTTTAAGACTTTTTTTTGTAAAGAAAAGGTCAACACCTCTTCTGTTGATGGGTTGCTTTGTGTAGGAGCACTGTATGGAAAGCTTTTCAGTGTTGCTGTTACACAGTGATGACGCAAGCTAACACTCATGAATCTGCCTATTGTAATTTGTTCTTGATGTGAAAACATACTACTTCATTTCATTTAAAATACTTACATATTTTTAACTGAAAGGCAAATTTACAGAGAAGTAAAAAACAGAAAGATCATCTGGATCATACCCTAAATGGTTACAAAGGCCAGAGCTGAGCGGATCAGAAGCCAGGAGGTGCTTCTGGGCCTCGCAGGTGTGTGCAGGGTCCCAAGGACTTGGGCCATTCTCCACTGTTTCCCTGGGCCGTAAGTAAGGAGCTAGATTGGAAGTGGAGCAGCTAGGCCACAAATTAGCATCCACATGGGATGCTGACATTTGAAGGTAGAAGACTGTCTTGTTTCGCCACGCCAGTCCCTGATTTAATTATATGTTGAAAAACACATCAAACATGAGACAAAAACTTACGAAGAATATTTCCAAATGACTTATTTCTAGAGCCATGCACATATTTGTAACTCCCCTGTCGCCCGCCCCCCCCCAAAAGTCATCTAATCTAATCTGTACCCTGAGGGGAGGTGGTTATTTATAAACTATTTTTCATTTCACTGAAAAACAGAATTTTTAATTTGTTTTCATATGCTAGTATGAGAAAAATATATTAAAAAATTGAGGGCTGGTTCAGTGGCTAGCAAACTATTATTTGTGTTACAACAACATCCCAAACGGGTTCTGATTCGTGTCCCAGCTCTACCACTTCCAATTCAGATCCCTCTGATGGACTGTGGAGGCAGTAGAGGAAGGCCCAGTCCTTGAAACCCTGCACCCATGTGGGAAACAGAGCTGAAAGAAATTCCTGGCAACCAACTTCACATCAGCTCAGCTCTAGCTTTGTATCCACTTGTGGCCACTTGTGGAGTGAACCAATGGGTGGAAAACATTCTCTTTTTCTCTCTGTAAAATTCTTCATTACCAATAAAAGTAAATCTTTTAAGAAAAAACTTCAGTAAATTATACATAAGAGAATGTTTAAGCCTTACTTAGTTTCTTATTTTTTTAAGATTTATTTAATTTTTGCTGAAAAGTCAGATACACAGAAAAGAGGAGACAGAGAGGAAGAGCTGCCATTCATTGATTCATTCCCCAATTGGCCACAATGGTTGGAGCTGCACCAATCCGAAACCAAGAGCCCAGGTCTTCCATGCGGGCATAGGTTCACAAGGCTTTGGGCCATCCTTGACTGCCTTCCCAGGCCACAATCAGGGATCTGGATGGGAAACAGGGTCACCAAGATTAGAACCAGCACCCATGGGATCCTTGCATATTAAAGGTGAGGGTTTTAGCTGCTAGGCTACTGCACCTGGACCTAAACCTTACTTAGTTTCAATGTTATAAATGGTGCTTGATTCCTTCCAAAAATCTGTGGACAAATAATGTACATTTGTCATAATATTGTAAACATATTTGACAATTATTATTTTCATTAAGTTTGAGTAAAGTCTGAAATCTGTCTTTTCAGCATTTGTTTTGTAATTATGTGATAAAACTTTTAGGTCAATCTCATGTCTAAAGAAAAGGCATCTGATATATTGTGCATCATAATATTTATAGCAGATGCAAAGTACTGGGTTGTCTATATATCCATGTATGATATTCTAGGGTAATGCATCCTTTCAGTATTGACCATTTATTTCCGTATCTTTAAGAAGATACATTTTTGGTTGGCACAGACACATGTCTCCTATGCCTTGAGCTTAATAAAATGGGTTAGTTGGAAATGATTGCTCTAAGCTCTCATATTGTTTTGGCAGTGAAATTGCTGTTGTGTTAGGGAAAATGGCTGTGTTGCATCAGTGCTATTTTTGTTCAACTTGTAAAATACATGAGATCTTTAACAGAGTGAGGAAGATTAGAGATATCCTGTCTTTTCAACTCTTACTCAAGAACTATCTGCAATTCAGCCTGCTGAAAATAAAATGAGAAAATGAGCATCAGACTGTCACAATGGAATCATATGTTTTGGTCGAACACACCAGATGATGTCTTAAAAAAGAATAGCTTTTGTTGTGCCTTCTCACCAGTTTTGTCTTTCACATTAAAATTTATGTTTTATGGATTTAGTCTAGGATAAAAGGAGAAGCAGGTCACACCATTGGAGACTCCTTTCCCTCTTTTATCTCTCCCTTTATCTTTCTTTCTCTTATTGCTATGGAATCTCTTTCCCTATCAGAAGTCTTACTGAGTGAATTGAAGTATCAGACTTTGTTATTACAGGCACTTCCTTTCATTCAGGGTAAAATTCAATGAAACTCCTGTGGGAAGTGATAGACAGGGAGAGGGACAGCTTCATGTGGTTAAAAGCAAACTAGAAATAGATGATGAAACTTGCCACGGTTTGAATCTCTGCTCCCATCTCATCACCCCAAAATCATTTATAATGTCTTTTTTTTTGCCCTTCTAGACAAAGTACATTTTCAATGCTATGCTAACTATCTGATGTTTCTGTTGTAAAATGTCATTGTTAGCAAGATGCGACTTTATAGCATAATATTTGCTGAAGAATGAATATAAGGAGAACCTGTTTTCAAAAAAAACACCCTTTATTTGGTTTACAGGTACAATTCTGGTGGACAACATGCTGATCAAAGGGACTGCTGGAGGACCAGACCCCACCATAGAGCTCTCTTTAAAGGACAACGTGGATTATTGGGTGTTGTTGGATCCTGTTAAACAAATGCTTTTCCTGAACAGCACAGGCAGAGTCCTGGATAGAGACGTTAGTGATTTTTTTTTTCCTTTGCCCCCATATACTAATTAACTATAGTTTAAAGATACATGTGTTTGCTGACATGATGTTGAATTTTCTTTATATATGTTAAGTTTATCCAAGGCAAATCACCAGTAGAAAATGTAACTCATTTGAGACAGAAACAAGAACGGAACATCTGTGTAGGAGACAATCACAATTTCTCTTTTAATATCAAATGGCTTGTCAGATTTCTGCACAAAAAGGAAACAGAATAAAGAGCTGGTAACCTGGACAAAGTAGGGTGAACATGGCCATCATGATTTCTTTACACAGGCTGCTGAGTGTGAGTCCAGCTCATGTGTTGGCTTGATGACATGGGTGCCCTCACAGGTGCTTGCTCACACAGGTACTAAGGAGTGAGGTTGTCCGTGGCTATCATTTGGCTGCAAGAAAAAGACAAGGAAAATTTTGTGGCCATAGGTCCATCTGATAATATTCAGGAAGCATAAACATTTGTTTTAAAGAACACTCAAATTAGCAATGCTGTTTAACATCTCATGTATTTAAAAGTAAAAAGGTAGCAAAAGATTTAACTGGTTTTCTAAAGTAGCTTATCACTTGTTTATATTGCAGCATAAGCTAGGAGATTATAACCAGTAATTGCTCATGGCATTGGAAAACTCAGAAATGGTGTTTGAATCTCTGAGAGTGCCGAGACCTAAGTCCATGTTTTATGATATCTAAATGTCACGTATTTAGTTTCCTGAACCTGAATTATCTCACATCATTGCTCAGGGTCATGTGAGGGTGATTTTATATATAAATTTGAGTTTTTTCTAGAAACACCATATACCCTTACAATTCTATAATATTACCAAGTGTTGGTAACATTTGAATTCATAACTTATAGTTTTTAAATGATATTAGTTTCAAAGCTATTATATTTATTTTTACTTTATTCCCTAACTGTTTATATATAAAGATTTTTAACTTTTTTATTTATGTGGAGAATTGAATTAGAATTTGGTTTTGGCTTTTCCTTTTGATACTGCTAGTTAATAAAATTTTCCACAAACATTGAACAGGCAACTCATTTGATTACATAAAAGTGTCGATCACACACATTGATTGCATTTGGAAATAATTATGATTAATATTAGCATAATGGCATTAGTATTGTAGTATAAGCATATGCAGCACATACTTATGAGCTTAAATTTTAAGCTAAGGCTTCTATCTAACTATTGATAAAATATGCATAATTACTAATCGGTAAAGTAGTTTTAATAAGTTGTAGTTTTTGGATCTTATATTTTTTAATAGATTTTTCCATTCATTGCTAAATTCTTGGAGTTGGTCACTGTATAACTAATCATTCCAAAACTGATGCTGAAAATAGCAAAATATAGTCTGTAATCTGTATTTAACCTGCTAACAACTGCCAGTGCTTCAGATTTGATCACTGGCCTAGAATTTTAATTTTTACTGGAAAATTGCTTTACAAAATTTTCAACGAGAAAGTTTCCATTGAGTTCTTGGAATACAATGATGATCTTCAAAGAATCTTCTGATTTTAATAAATTCTTGGGCTTATTAGGAAAGTGTAATGTGTCTTCAAATAAAATCAGATCAGTGGATGAAGCGTATTAAGAATATTGCCATAGAAGGAAAGCAGTTTGCTTTTAGGGAAGTTGTTATTTTGCAAGGACAGGGGAAAACTATGTGTTCTATGACCACACGGGGTCTCTAGCATAGAGCTTTCTCCTTGTGTACTTGTTTTAGCGCCCTGCAACAGGCGTCTTTGAACATCTATCTCTTCTCCTCTATTTCTTTCTTTAGTACTTGACCTTCCCTCTTCCGGTTATTCATTCCATGTCTGCTGCCTATAAACTTTCAATGCAAAACTACTATAGATTGGCTATAATCCTGTGTGTGTGTGCGTGTTTATATGTATTATACATATATATATATATACATTTGTTTCATTTGTAAGTTGCAAATAAATACCTACTGCCTTAAATGAACTGTAAATATCAGATGCACAGTTGACGTAGTTCCAGATTAAATTATTCTTTGCCTCAGCATTAGTAATGAGAAAGTGTACTATCTTCCAAATCAACTTCTACATGTCCTAAATTAAGACTATAAACTGTTAATGAGAGACATTGGAGAAATGCTTAACTAGAAACTATGTTGATATAAGCCAAAGTGCTTATCTTAACATCAAATGTTAAGAAAATAATCTCATGAAATAATGCTCATCATGGAAATTTATGAGGATAAAAATAAAACAGGAATTCCCCCAAGCCCTCTGTATTTCTATTTAATTTAAAAAGTTTACATAGTATGAATAATATGTGACAATTTTCTAGCTTTTCAAAAGCATTGCACTGATATTCATCATTTTATTATTCCCTATATTCATTTATTGCATCAATATTACATAAATTGCTTAGTTTAAAAATGAGATTAAAGAATATCAAGAGTCTGTCTCAGATGACAAAACTAGAAAAATACAATGTCTCATGGAAAAATGAGACTTCATGAAATCACAAAGACGGTCTGAAATGCCAAATTATTTTCAAATCTCACCAGTGTTCTCTAACACTATTGGGCATGAGAAACTGATGTTCATTACAATTTAACACTTTAATAAGAAAATGATACTTGTGCAGTCTTACAATACTTATCTCAATACACTAGAGAAATTTTTGCAAAGTACCTAAATGAAGAGAATTTACAACCACAACAACAATAAGCAAGTTGTTCCTTTTTCAAATTCTCACACCTACATATGGAGTTGTGATTTCTCTGAATGGGCCATGGTGCGCCACTCAATTACTATGTTGAGTAATTACCACTTCTTTAATTATATGATCAGTCATTGTGAAAATTAAACATATTAGACACTTGTCAACACTGCTGAACAACATTTTATTTCTTTAACATAGCTTCTCAAACATGCTGTGTCTCAATTCTTTATTACAGTTTATATACAACTAATGAAAGGTTTTCATTTTGCAAAGATGGCATGTACATCGGAAAAAAACTTGTGACACAAACTTCATTTTTGGGAAGAAGTAGAAGCATTTTGCATACACTCAATAGAAAATAAAATTGATTTTTGTAGGTTGGGTAAAACTTTATTTGAGGGGCTGATGATTAGGCAGAAAATGTTATTCCTACAATTCCATTTTCTTAATATCAGATTGTGTTAAAGATCTGCATTACTCAAATTAATAAGTCTGTTATCTAACTTTGCTTTTAAAAAAATCCTAGAAGATCTTTTGAGTAACTCAGTGGACTGTTCATATGTGTTTCTTCATATTAGAGATAGGGAGAAATGAATGGACAAAGAGAGGAGGGAAGAGGAAGGAGAGAGATGGGAGAGAGAGAAAAGGAATCCTACCCTTGATGGTTCAATACCCCAAAATCCAAAATGATCCCTGGCTGGGAGTGGATTAATGGCCTTGTATATGGATGGCAGGAATCCAGTGACTTGCGCTGTCACTGCTTCCACCAGGATCTGTCTTAGCAAGATACTCTATTCAGGAGCCTAACCAGAAATGAGTAGAACCCAGCAACTCCCACATAGGACATAGGTGTCTTCACGACTAGGCTAAACACCTACTCTTAGATTCATATTTTTAATTATAATATTCTCGTGTAATTGTTAGTAATGTTTATTCTGTTACTTAATACTATAAACACCACTTTTCAATGATAACTGAGTAACTTATGTGTTGATCAATACCTATACCCACTTGTCCACTGATAAACAGGCAGATGTAACCTGAATATCTTAAATACTCATTTCTAAATTGAACATATAATTTGCATTATGTAGCTGTATATGAATTGTTTAAGAAATCACTACTCCAAATTGCTTTCAACTTTTTTCTTCATTGTCATGAAACAAAGCCAGTAAAGAAAATTGAAAATAAGATTACCTTAATTTTTTTTTTGCCATTTGTTTATGATAAACCAAAACTTAAGATTCCTTAAGTGTCAAAGTCCCTGAACTCTTACTAATCGGCCTACTAGGCAGTATTTGATGTGTTTATGACCTTCTTGTACAGCAAAATAGAATCTATTCCAGTGTAAAATTACAGTGTATGTAATGTATAGGCCACAGGGAATTCTTGCCTTTCAGTGTGATCCATTGTGTTTGGAATTTATTACGCACTCAGTTCTATGCATGCTACAGAGCTGCACAGAGAGCTTAACTGAAGAGTGACAACAGTTCCAGGTGACCTGGTTATTTCTAATTTATGGGTGCTTACGGGACTGAGTGAAGTCTCAGTGCACAGTGCATTTGATCCTTTCTTCAAAAGGATTGTGACCTTTCTTTCCCAGAGCCACCACTCAATGCTGAATTAGAAGATGAAATGTAACAGTTTTATAGATCTGCTTTGAAACATTTAGAAGATAAATAATGTCAGAATTTAATTCACCTGATTGTCCTCCATAACATTTGCCAAGGGCTAATACTACATAGATTCATTCTGCTTTTGTTTCACAATTAAGATATGTAGGATTTACCTTTAAAAAGCTTTGAAAGCAAATTCTTTAAAACTAGTATATATTTAATTCAGATTATTTCCAGAAAATTGTTGAATCTAATATTCTTGTCCATTAACTTTCAGATTGCAATGTTTTAACAATGAGGCTTTTCTGGAATAGTCTGTCTTCTCTGTCACTTTGGTTTAACAGAAAGTCTAGTGTTATATTAAGAAAGTATGCTTATAATATGTTTAATTCATAATTCTTATTTCTGCTGTCCGGAATTATAATGAATAGCCTAATTTTCCATCCCAATCATTTAGGTGCTTAGGAAATACAGCTTCTTAAATTGTATAACACATTCTGAAAGTGTTTTCTCATCATCAGGATGGTACTTCTTACTTATAGTACACTGCTTTCTGCACCTGATATCATTATTGAATGTAAAGCTTACTGATCCAGTAACTTATTTACAGCAATACCATGCAAAATCAACTTCTAACCAATAAAAACTCACAATGGTATCTCATACTGAAATTTTTAGGCATCTGTTATATAAGAATGGTTGAGATGTTTAGACATAAAATTGGAAGGAGGGTATTTTTTGTTAGAGGATTCTGTTTATTGCTGTAATATTTAAACAATTTGGTAACCGACTGTTGATGTCTTTGAATGTATTTTGCCATGAAGCAAAGTACATACCCTAGAGAGCCGGTGGTGGTCAGATTGTATGCACATGCACTTAATGCTTTCATTAAATCAGCAATTAGAAGTGACGTGAGATAGATGTTGAGCACAATGCAGCGTCACATTTCACTTGATCTTTCTCCACATGTTACTGAGAATAAGCTTCTCTTAGATACTCAAATACAAGTTAATCCAACTTTTTCTTTCTAGAATATAAAAAATATTTGGAGGCTAAACAATATTTGACCTCACTTTAATTGGAGTTTACAAATTTCTTTTTTTTTTGCAAATGCAGCTTATAGCCATTTTAATGGCAGTACTGGTTTTGAGTGATTATTACTGTTTTTTAAATGGACTTTGATCCATTGTGAGTAAATATTTTGTAATTTAGTTCAAGTTGATTTCTATCACTTTTGAGACATGTATAGTATTAATTAAATAACTGTGTATTTACACATGCTGAACATAGATAATTGCATGTGATAATTACAGTTAAATCGCAGTGTAGTATTTAATTTCTTTTTAGAGCTAACTGAACAAAGTACAGATTTTGCACCTTCCTTGGGCCACACATTTAATGGGTTACAGGAGTAGAAGTAGAGCCAGGAAGTTTGACTCGGGTATTATACACTCATCTATCAAATGTATGGCTAGTGTTAGTAGCATGATATTGTCATGAATGAAACAACTAGAGTGTCAATGATTTGTCACTCTAGTAAAATTTTGTCAGTCTAGTAAAGCAATTATGTGTTAAGTTATAAGTCATGTGTGTGTATGTGTGTGTTGAATTAGAAATAATGTAAGTAATGATAGTGGAAGTTGAAAAGAAAGGCCAGATCAAAGAGACAATCCTTAATATAAAATAGTAAGGATAGGTTGTTCTGATAAAATGACGCAGTTATATTTTATATACTCAAAACAGGTTTTAAACATCCAGAAATTCTGCTAACGGTTTTTTGACATTTTCACTAAGGAATCAAATATAAGCTCAGTGTCATCCCGTCTCTGTTAGCCTTAGCTGTAGGACTTGAGATCATGCAAACTCCTCTGCTGACATCATTCTCCTTCAGGGAATTTGTCATGGCTATACTAAAGAGATTGTGACAAATTGATCTATGACATATATTGAAATATTTATTATGAAAAGATGATAAACATCTAAGTTAATTCTTAAAATAATCTATAAGTGATTATGAATTTACTATTAAATTATCGGGTATAGCTTCATAGTACAGATAGTATATACCAAAATGCTTAGGTTAATCTGCTCACAGTCATGTGATGATCCTGTGTTTATGTGAGTTTGTGTATACATGTGTGAGTTTGGGTATAACAGCTATATATTTAACTAGAAGGAAAGTTTAACAAAGCAAAGATTTAAGAATGTAGAATGAGAAAAGTCCATTTTTGGAATACATTTTTTTCCTATTTTTGTCATCTGCATTCTATTTTTGCCAGTAATGAACACAATATAGCCTAGTTAAAAGTACATAAATGAAAACTTACACAATTTGTTTTCCCCATGGGTTTAATCTTTTTTGTTTTTACCTAGGCATGTATATTACTGCATCATTAATTCTGAAAGACAACTTCATTCTTTTGAATTCAGCATTGATTTTGTGACTTGCTATCAGTAATCATCTAAGTTGGAATGCACCATTACTGGAATACCAGTTTTTGATATTCAGATTAGGTAGTAAAAAAATGATAAATCTTTTCTATATGTGGGCAAATTTTGCAGGCATGAGTGCATTTTCTAAATCATAATTTTTTAAAAAAATAGTAAAAATTTTAAGGAAACGATGCTTTAATGATGAGAAGCTTCAGTGTCCAATGTTTGTTTCAAAGGTATAATTTCTGTGTTGCAGCCGCCAGTGAACATACACTCCATTGTAGTGCAAGTACAATGCATCAATAAAAAGGTGGGCACGGTAATCTACCATGAAGTACGAATTGTGGTGAGAGACCGAAATGACAATTCACCCACGTTCAAGCATGAAAGCTACTATGCCACAGTAAATGAGGTCAGTTGCTATCTATTCTTTCCGTTTTTCTATGTATTCCCTTGTAATATTAAGTTACAAGGACAAAATCATTATGATCAATGATTTTTATGAGTATTCGTATACATTTTAAACATGTGGAGGAAATACTAACATTTATACCACACTGAAAAGAAATACATTTTGATTGTCTTCTGTTATGAAAAGTCACATTGACGGTAGTATAGGAATCTCAATTTGTTTGCAGTAATGATCACGTGGACATTTTTCATCAGAAAAGGTATTCAGCAATTTACAAAAGATATTGCTTGAATTCCTATATATATTGAAGTGGAGCTGGTGTTTATTCTCATTGAGCAGCATTGGACTAATGTTTTCATATCTCTGAGGTATCTTACTAATAGTGGGAGGGGATATCTGAAAGTCTTGATTTATAGCCATTTATTTGAGACTAAGATTCTTGAATATTCAAAAAGTCGATATAAATTACAGCTGAATCCTTATAAGACTATTCAATGTAATATTCACAATATTTTTTAAATGATATCATTGCTTATTTTAGAAAATTTTCTTTGGTTCTTAGATTTTTGCTTAGATTTATTCCCTTTAGGAGAAAATCAGTACCAAGAACATAAATTGTATTTTTATTAAATTGCTGTTGCTGTATATTATTCTTATGCCATTTAGTTATTATGGCCTTAATGTTACCTCTATAAATACTGTAAACACATGGTAAAATTGATTAAATTAAGATGATAGCCTAAATTTTATCATGTCATCATTAATTCAATTTTTAAAATCTGAAAAATGCATGCATACTTTATAGCAGGAAATAAATATAGTTTGGATAGCAAATTAGTATCAGGTTTGTAACCTGTTAATTATTTTTAAGTAATTGAAAACATTTTTATCTCAAATTATATCCATTAAAATTTTGGAAATTATGTTTCACTTGTAACTTTAAGAAAAAAGGCCCATCTTTCTATGTTTTTAGTTTAGTATAACAATTTATTGGCAAAAATGTTCTTAATCTCTGAGCCCCATTGTTTACCAAGTTTGATTTTAAATACCTATCAGTGATCTTATGAAAGCTTCTGAATTGTTCCCTTTGAATTGGGTTCCAATCTTCAGTTAAGCAACAGGTCAGATGTACGGCCCATTTTTTTTTAAACCAATGTTAAGTGACTCTGGTCCTCTTTAGCTAATGTTTTCACAGAAAAAAAACAAAAACGGTACACTCTTGAATTAGAATTCCAAGGCGTTAAATGTGAGTTGTTATTTCCTTACCTCTCCAGTCCTCTCAAGTCCTTGCTGGAATAAAAGCAGCAGCAAAAGAATGCTTGGTTAAATACCATTTTAATTGTGTCCTGCTACAACTTTACAACTTAAATATTGTACAGTTTTGTGTTATTGCTAAGCAAAAGTTAGGATACTTCCTTTACAAAATGTTCAAGTTCATTCTTAATCTGACCATCTGGCAATGCTTGATTTATGCGTGTGTGTGTGTGTGTGTGTGTGTGTGTGTGTGTGTGTGTGTGTGTGTGTGTGTGTATGGGTTACAAAGAGGGAGAGAGAGACTTTATGTCGGCCGGTTCACTCCTCAAGTGGGCAAGCTTGGCCTGGGCTAAGACAGGCCCACGCCGGTAGCAAGGATTCTCATTCAGATTTTCAACATGGGTAGCAGGGGCCCATCTGGGACACCATCTGATCCCCATGTGGGATACTAATGTCGTGGGCAGCTATACCACAGTGCTGGGCTCCATCAATGCATTGATATCTCATTATTCAGATCAACTGAATATTTCTGTATTTGGGGCAATGTGCCCATATTCATTTTGTTTAGAATGGGATCTTCTCTAACTTTCAGGTCTCTAAGTTGTTTATATCTGTAAGATGTTAGCTCAGTACCTATTTTCTTATGAAATCATTCCTGTCCAGATTTATAGACCTTCAATGTCTGTAGACACTGAACTCTAACAGTATCTAGGTAAAAATCTATTAGAGTGATCCACATTCATCATTCTATCTCAGATTGTTTTGAGAGTCTCAGGTCCCTTTATAAGTCTGTTCATTATGTAGTTCAGCTGAACTTTTTTTTTTTTAATGTTCTTCCTGTGTATTAATTTGTTCATTATTTAAAAGAGAAGGAGTGGAATTAGGAAAGTGTGTAGGGAGAGAGGAGGAGGAGGAGAAGATAGAGAGGATCTATCTTCAGCTGTCTCAATCCCCACATGTGTGCAAAGGCCAGAGCTGGGCCTGGCCAAAGACATGAGCCTCATCTAAGTATCTTACATGGGTGGCAGAGGGCTAAGTAGGTGAACTATCTTTCCATTTTCCTAGACCAATAGCTGGAGCTGTATCAAATTTTGAGCAGCTAGGACACAAATGAGAGCTCATAATAAAGGTGGTGGCTTTGTTCTCTAAGCAACAATGCCAGCCTTTTAGTATATTTCTCATAACTGTATGAAGCAACATCATCCAATTGGCATAAAGGTGGTGACATCTATGAATTGTTTATAGAAAGGATTTGTACGAATTGATCATATTTTCCCATTCAATTTTGTCTGTTCTGTCTACTATTAATGAAAAGCAAAGGTATTTTAAAACTCAAAGCAGTGTCTCAAATTTAAATAAATTCAACCTATTCCCCTCCTTTACTTACTCAAATATAGTAGCAACTGAATTTCACTGGGACATATATTTAAATTGGATATACATATACATATGTGTATTTATGTTGTTTTCATACAATTCCAATGGTATGTATAGAATAAAATTAAATGGAGATTTGACATTATATAAGAATGCAATGTATGTTCGACAATATTCCTCCATTTGGTGCATGACATGCAATTAATTAAGACTAGAAAAACCTAATTTTTAAAATTCAAATGTGTGCTTATTTGAGAGAGAGAGAGACCCTAAAATCTGCTGCTTCACTTTCTAAATGACCGCAATGATCAGGAATGGATGGGGGCAAGGCTAGGAACCAACAGCTTCACCAAGGAGACCAGGATGGGTGCAGGGATCCCAGTGTTTGACTAATTCTCCTTGGCTTTCTAAGGCCATTAAAAGGGACCAGGATGGGAAGAGGAGCCACTAGAACTGGAACTGATGTTCATAAAAGGTGATGTTGTCACAGGTGGCAACTTAACATGCTGTGCCAAAGTACAGGTCCGAAAACCCAAATTTTTAAAAACCGGTTATGTATGATTGCTATTGACCTTCAATAATTTTATATATTACTAAAATTTTTAGGACAGTTATAAACTCATTGACACAATTATAAATGGATTAACATCAAACTTCCTCTCTTTGTGAACATTTTCTTTATGCCAATATGTAAAAAAAAATCACAAAATATTTTTATACCCTGTTGCAAATGTCAAGAAAGCATTATAGCACAGAATATATCTTGCTTGTGAACAATACGTTGGACATTGAAAGTGTTTTGGTAATTTGAGGTTTCAATTAATTTTGGACTATTATGTTATTAAGCAGTAAATCACTAGTGTAAATAATAAATTGAATAGTTATATTTTGGCTGATTGTTGCTCATCAATTTCAGAATACAAATTTTTCCTGACAGGGATATTTTTAATGACACATGCCTTCACCCCACTCCCTAAAATTCCTTTTGACATAATGAAAATAAACAAGGGCAAATGAAGGCCAACATAATGTTTCCTTGGGGTTAGGAATTTACATCATGTTAATATAGAGTGATGTTTATCTTGGTCTTTAATGTCCACTTCACAGATAGGACAATTTTTCAGTCAATACTAATTCACTTCCATCACCTTGAATATCACCTTACATGTAATATGCTGCTCTGATGTGAATTGATTTATTGAAGATAAGTGGTTGGCACTTTCTGGAAGAATGTTCCTTGAATTATTCTTAATAAGGAGATGATTTACAATTTCATGGATGGGAGGAGCACAAGAGGGTAAAGAATAAAAAAGGGAGGGAATTGGCTCTCCCACAGGAAGGAAATAGGACATTTAATACAGAATGTTTAAGAGTAAAATCAGTACATTTAAAATGGTCATTTATTTATTGGCTTATTGGCTTATTTCTATATGGTGAGGACTGTGTCAAGCTGCTTTTATGCACATTATCTAGTTCCATGTGTCAATATTGCTAGAGAAATGAGAAAGTAAAGATTTGTGAGGTCATGATACTGTCCCAATCATATCCACTTGATGGTAAAACAGATTTTTAAACCAGATTTGTCAAACTGCATGATACAGCCTCCTAAGAAAAATATTAAAAAATGTTTCAGAGCAACATGTATGTTGCTGTGCTAACAATCTTCGGACACACATTTCATAGTATTGTCATAAGTGACAAATCTACAGCCATTTTTCAGGATAAAGTTAACAATTCATTATCAGATTTAAATGTTACTAATGGAATATGCTATTTTTATATTTTGGAGAATTATGTTCCCTTGATAAGTAATTTTCAGCCAATGTTTGAATTAGGATGAACCTATAATGTAAAGCTTGCATGTGCTTAACGTTTTCCTTAATTTACTTTGAAGATGTGTGTATTACATTTTATAATTTTTACTGAATCATACATACAACAAGTGTAAGCCATTTGGCACAGCAGGTTAAGATGTCACTTGTATTGTCTGTTCCTCTAAGGATACAGCTCCCTGGTCAAGTGCTTGGGAGGCAGTGGTGGACAGGTCAAACAGGTGGGTTTCTGCCACTTAAGTAGTAGACTTATATGGGGTTCTAGCTTTCATCTGCGCCTGGCCCATAGCCTGGCATTTTCCTGATTGTGGCCACTTGTAGAGTGAACCAATGAATGAAAGATTTAAAAAAATAATCTGGAAATAAACACATGCATGGATAAAAACTTGAAGCAAGTGCAAACCTTCCAGATTGTTGAGATAAGTTACATAGTTTAAAATAACAATCACAATAAAAAAGCGCACATGTTTAAAAACTTGGTAAACATGAGTTAAATGAACTATGATCACTTGCAAAGGGGAAATTATGAATTCATTC